TTGGAGACAAGCCCTTCTAATTTGCATAGACACTCACCATGCTTTTCAAGAAGGATGCAATCCTGACCAGTGGTATGCTGGTAAATGTTTAACAACCAGCATTTAGCAGGATTAGTTGGAGCTCCGATTTGTAGCATTTGCCAATTGCTGTGGTGTAAATACTCCCACCATGCCGATTTCAAGCCTGCAATGTGACATCAGGAAGCCCACAATTTAACAATTGGCCAGCTCCAGCACATGCAGATCCTGATTCTGGGGAGTGAAACAGTCTCAGGTTTCAGTATGAGCTCTCTTGCTTACTAGCTGTGTGGCCTTGAGCAGGTTCTTTAACGGCTCTGAGGCTGGCTCACAGAAGGCATCAGGATGCTTGTTTTCTTCCCTCTTCGTTGCCCAAATAGGAAAGTACATTTGTCATGTCACTCTCTTGCCGTGTCTCCTGGGTGGAGACGAGGATGGGAGACAGTATATTATGCTTAGAGAGGCGGTGGACGCAGCTGCCTTATACTTTTCTGGGAACATTTCCAAGAAGAGACTGGACTTTTTTTAAATGTGGGAAGACAGAGGGAAGTTTGACAGATGGAAGGGGAAGAATTGCTGTCTAAAAGGAACTCAATTTGGGAGAAATACAAAATAGGAATTTGAAGAGCAGATGGTGGAGATCCCCCAAATGTTAGCTTCCCTGGCAGGGAGGGAGGGGAAGGGGCCAGAGTTGAAAGAGGGAGATGTTGGTCCTTGATGTACAGACCAACACATAACCAGCTAAGCCTGTGTTTTGTTTGGGGCACCTCTGGGGGTCCAGCCCACTGGGGTACAATGCCATAGAAGTTAGGTGAGCATGCAAGTGTCAGGATGTGGCTGTGGCCACATCCACGTCTCTTCACTGCTGGTTCAGTTTCCTCATCTGTAATATGGGGATAAGAAACCTGCCAGGAAAAGCCTACCATAAAGAGCTCAAGAGATGGCAGAAAGAGAACTGGGGAACAGCTAAGGGTGGGGTGTGAAGAAGGACAGAGCAGATCCCATTCCCAACTGTCACACAGAGGCAGGAGGAGAGGCACAGAAGCAGTCCTCTGAATGCTGCATGATCTGAGCAACAGCTCTCCACCGGGGCTGACTTGGGAGGAAAGCGGGTGGCAGGAGAGTGAGGAGAGCAAGTGGCTGCCTTCTGGAAGCTTGGAGAAGATGAGATAAGGAGAGGAAGGACAGCTTCAGGAGAGGATGCAGGGCCCAGGGCCTATGCTGTGTAAATGGGAGAACCTTGACCCTGGCTACCCACTGATGGAAACGAGCTGGGAAGAAGGAGCTGGGGAGAAAGAGGCAGGAAGCTGGGATCCGGGGGGCTGCACACAGCTGACTCTTCCCACTCCTGTCCTGCTCTATGCTTAGGTCCCACTTCATCAAGTGTGTTTCTAACGTGAGTTGATGGGGCTGAGCTGATGCTCTGGGCAGACGGCTGGGTCTGTACCTCCCGTTCTGCAAAACACAGGGGCAGTTGGTGACTGTTGCTAGGCACTCCCTTGGCTTTCTGGAGCATGACTTCCCCCACGTGCTGCACTCTGCCTGCGGGGAGCTCTGAACGTTGTTTCCTCCTTCAGTTCCCATCTTGGAGATGTGTCGGGGCTCCTGTAGGCTGGTGCCCTGATGCAGCTCCACCCTGGTCCATCCCTGTCACAGCCTCCCTGCCTGGCCTGACCCCTTCCATGGCACCTCCTGGCCCTCTTGCCTCATCTGCTCCCTTCAGGTTCTAGGATCTCATCCTTCGCACGATGCCCTGTCACTGCGCTTCTCACTCGGTGGGGCGCCCACAGTCACAAGTTGTGCTTAGTGCCCCATCTGGCCATGACCCCTGGGCATTGAAACCACCAAACAGGACCTTCCCTGATGACTGCCCCTCTGGCTCTGTGCCATCAATCATAAGGTGTGGCCATTCCATTTCTGGAACCTGAGACCCCAGGGCTGGGGATCAGCGCCCAAAGGCCCTCTCTCCAAGCCTTTCCCAGGGGAGTTGCCCTTCCTCAGCCATAAGGGGCTCTGGCCCCATGACTTCCCAACCAGCTGCACTGCACTAAGGTCAGCTCAGTGGGAATGTTGCCAGCCCTGCCTCCTGGTCTGCACCAGGGAAAGGGAGCTGTGAAGGTCACTGCTGAGAACTTGTCACAGTCAAACGTGAAGTGTATAACAATTTCCAGTCTGATCTTCAGAATGCAGAAAATGATGGAGCTGGAAGTGGAAGGGAACTGTGGATGCTCCCAGGCCTGTCCAGGAATTTCACTGAGGGCCTCCACAGCTGGTTCCTGTGTGTTTGGCTCTTACCTAGGAGAATGCATTGACTTTTGAGTTGACTTCAGACAAGATGGAAATTTTCTAAGTGAGCCACTGCAGAGAAGGCTGAGGCAGGAGAATAGCTTGAACCTGGTGGGTAGAGGTTGCTGTAAGTGGAGATTGTGCCACTGCACTCCAGCCTAGGTGACAGAGTGAGACTCTCTCTCAAAAAGAAGAGGATAAAGAAAAAGAGGAAGAAGAAAAAGAAGAAGAAGAGAAGAAGAAAAACAAGAGGAGGAGGAAGAGGAGAAAAGAAACTCTGTCTCTACAAAAAAGTTAAAATAGAAAAGGTAGCCAGGCTCACTGGCCTGTGGTCCCAGCTATAAGAGATTGGAGGATCACTTGAGCACAGGAGGTTGAGGCTGCACTGAGCAATGATTACACCTCTGCCCTCCAGCGTTGGCAACAGAGTAAACACTGTCTCAAAATTAAAAAAAAAAAAAATTGTAGCTGGGCATGGTGGCTCACGTGTAATCCCAGCTCTTTGGGAGGTCAAGGCGGGCAGATACTGAGGTTAGGAGATCGAGACTAGCCTGACCAACATAGCAAAACCTAGTCTCTACTAAAAATACAAAAATTAGCCAGGTGTGGTGGCAGGTGCCTGTAATCCCAGCTACTCCAAAGACTGAGGCAGGAGAACTGCTTGAATCCAGGAGGCAGAGGTTGCAGTGAGCTGAGATCAGGCCACTACACTCCAGCTGGGGTGACAGAGACTCCATCTCAAAAAAAAAATGTAATCGCACATCCTCTGCCCTGCAGAAATCCACAACCTACATCGCATTACGCCTAAGGGGAGTTCTCCCTGCTGCAGCCTAACAGACAATGTAAGCACTAAAATGTTCACTGACCAACCCTGTGCACCACTGCAGGCACATGTGAGATGCCTTGTGTGTACCACAAGTGAGGCAGGACACGGGTCACATTCAGAGCTTTCTAGAGAAGCAAAAGGAAAGTTGCCTTGAGTGCTCTTTAGATGTTTTCCAGATAGATTTCCATGGAGAACTTGGGATCGTGTTGCCACGTTTGTTTCCAATCTCCACGGTTGTTATTACTCCGAAAGTGACACATGCCTATTGTAACAGTTAGCGGGTTTTGTTATTGCACCATACTGTTCTGCAAGCTAAGACCCTGAGCATTACTTGAGATGATGGAAGGAGGGGGCTTTGTGAGATAGGCGAGGCAGAGCCGGTGCCTGGAGAGTGTCATGTGCAGGGAACCTGGATTCTCCTTGGGGGTTTGGAGAGCTGTGGGGTGTGGGGCAGGTCCCGGGGAAAGACAAGCAGAAGCCTGGTAGTCTGGGGAAAATTAGTTGCTCTCTTGATGAATGGGGCTTCTGGATCTGATCTTTGAGCTTAAGAGAGAAGATGACTGGGTAACTTTGATTTCAACCTGGAAGAACGTTGTGGGGGAATTGTGCTCCGTGGGAGCATAGGGTTTTTGTAAGGAGTCATTGCCAGTGGGACAGCATTCAGGTCTCCTGTTGCATTTACTGACATTTAGTTGTGAAATTTTGCAAGAAAAGACCAACAAAAGAGGCCCCAGATGGACTGTGTGGAGCGTGGAGAGTTGGGGGCTGGTGATGGAATCTTGCTTGAGTGGATATTGTATGACAGCGCTCGAATAATGACTGGCTGTTCATGGGTGGATTTGGGGAGGCTTCAGTAACAATGGACTGTGTTTCATTTGGCTTAGTTGCAAATATCAAGTAGTCAGAGTTGGATATAAAATTACTCCATGGCAATAGGAGTATGACTTGGGATTAGACGCATTCAAACTGTCTGAATATTTGCCCGTTGTGGGAGGAAATGCAGGGAATAAAATGCAGAGGCTTAGGAAACCTCGGAAAACCAGTGAGGGGAAGAGGCACCCCAAAGCCCAAGTGATGCCGCTGTTGAACCTGGAGTGCAACCAGAGAAGGACAGGACCTCACAAGTCAAGGCCTCAGGGCACTTGAGCAGCGGTTGGTTGGAGAAAGCAACAGGGATTGTAGCGAGGCCAGTGGAGACCAGAGTGGGTCAGAGAGGCAGCCTGTGAAACAGGCAGGATATCCCAGTATCCTGGATCTTGGTGGCCTTGGGTGGGTGGGGGAGAAGCTAAATGGAAGAAGCTTCAGGAAACAGCCTCTTGGGACTTTGAGTGAAGTGAGGAAAAGGCAGAAGTGTGATTCCAGCACCTTCTCAGAGGAGAACAGTGTGGAACTCAGGGCAATGAGTAAACCCTAGGTCTTCACTATTGATGAAATAGTGAATTGTGATTACTCCTGTGGGCTCCTCCGGGAGCACAGGCTGCTGGTGACTGGGACACCAATGCTGGCCACGCATCTGTGTGCCACAGGATTGCATGATTCCTTAAGATGGAACCCACAAAGGCCTGTTTATAGCAGATGTGGTGGCCCCACCTCTCAGCCCCCTAGGAAAACACACCCGGCTCGGTATCACCCTTGAGCCACTGAGCTCCCAAAAATGGCAATAGGGGTTGTTGAAACAAAAGCTCCATCTCCCAAGCCGTCAGCATAGGGAGCAGCTGTGACCTCCAAGTTCGGTTCCTGATTCTGTGTTTCTTTCTCCCTCCTCCTTTAGATCGTGGTGTATGTGGGCGTCTCCTCAGCCGGCAGCTTCTCTGTGCCCCGTGGTTGATGTCCAAGGTTTTGACTGTGTGGGTTTGTGTCTTTCCGGCAGGTGTCTCCTCTGTGACTTCCCTGATGTCCCTGGCTTGGGTGCTAGCCTCCTATCACAAGCTGCTGCGGGACTCCAGGGACGACAAGAAGAGCATGAGCTACAGAGGGGCTCTCATCCACGTCTTCTGGCGCCTCTTCACCATCTCATCCCGAGTGATCTCTTTTGCCCTCTTTGCTTCCATCTTCCAGCTCTATTTTGGGATCTTCGTGGTGGTTCACTGGTGCGCCATGGCCTTCTGGATCATCCATGGCGGAACAGACTTCTGCATGTCCAAGTGGGAGGAGATCCTCTTCAACATGGTGGTAGGGATTGTGTACATTTTCTGCTGGTTTAACGTCAAGGAAGGGCGGACTCGATATCGAATGTTTGCATATTATACGATAGTCTTGACCGAGAATGCTGCCTTGACGTTCCTTTGGTATTTTTATAGAGACCCGGAGACCACTGACTCCTATGCGGTGCCAGCACTGTGTTGTGTCTTTATTAGCTTTGTGGCTGGGATCGCACTGATGCTCTTATACTACGGTGTGCTGCATCCCATGGGGCCACGAGTTAAGATCCTTGCCAGCTCCTGTTGTGCCGAGCTGCTCTGGGGCATCCCTTTGCCCCCCGATGTTGAGCCCATGGCGCCTCAGACCCCTGGGTACCAGGGGACCCAGGTTACGCCCACCAGAGCCGTAACGGAACAACAGGAGGATCTCACGGCTGACACTTGCTTGCCCGTTTTCCAAGTGAGACCCATGGGGCCCCCTACCCCGTTGGGGCGTCCTTACCCCCCAGAAGGGCCCCTCATTAAGATTGACATGCCAAGAAAGCGATACCCAGCTTGGGATGCTCATTTTGTAGACAGGAGGCTAAGAAGGACTATTAACATTCTGCAGTATGTCACCCCCACCGCAGTAGGCATTCGATATCGAGACGGACCACTCCTCTATGAGTTGCTACAGTATGAGTCTTCACTCTAAGAGCATCTTGACCCAAGTTGAGAAGGGGACTTTAAGTTTGGTTTGCGGTAAACACCGCTTGCAAGAAATATAACCCTCCCTTCCCCCAATACACAGAACCACCACCACCGCCACCGCCACACCAACACCACCACTACAAAAAAAATTAATAAGTCACAACCCCTTCAAATAAGCTTTCTTTCCAGTCGCTGTATGTATACAAAGATATTCTCTATGTTTTGTAAGTAAAAACAAAAAGAAAACCTTTCTTTTGTTTTTTACACATAAGAAACAGTATTGAAAAATCCCACGCTATGGTTCATAGAGTGGAGAAGGAGGAGTTGTCTCCACTCCAAAAGAAAAAAAAAGTTTTTTACCTTACACCAAGTGTAGATCATTTATGGGATTGGTGCTGATTGAAAGAACAAAACAAAACAAAACAAAAACACAAACAAACAAAAACCTTCAACTGCCTTATGCCCTTAGGTGCTGAGTTTCATTAAGTACTGTCACGTTTTCTCATGCAAAACTCTCTGGTGATTTTTGCACCAGGAGAGGGAAAATTAAACAATTAAATGAAACAAATCTAAAAGCATAACAAAAACCAACCAACAAATACAACACAGAGCAATTATTGTTCCTATCTGATTATTTGTATTGAAGAAAACAAATTTACCAAAAGCAAACCAAAAGCATAAAACCCCTCCCTCTTGTTCAGTTTCTCCCCTCCTCTCCTGACCTTCTCCCCACTTCGCAGAGCCTTCTAGGAGCTCAAGGGCTGTTTGAAACTCAAACGGCTGGAGAAGCTACTTGAAGGCTGACTATGTGCCATTTTAACATTTGCCTAGCAAGAATCACATTCGTTTCCCAGTGAAAAGCAAACCAGAACAAAACAAAAAGCCACCCCAATAATTCGGTAAGGACAGGACATTCTAAAGCCAATTAAAGGAGATTTCTATATACATAATCAGTAATAATAAAACTCAGCATAGTAGCAAAAAGAACGACAATTTAAAGGCACAATACTTAATCAGTGACTGGCAACAACAATTAGTTCCATCATTTTAAGGCTGTGAATGGTAGACATTTATCACATGTGATATTGTGTAAAGCCTCTTCTGTTTCCATTTGGTGGGAAGCCTTAAATTGATCTGGAAAGAATTCTTCATTTTTCATTTGTGCTTTTTTTTAAAAAAAATAACACAAAGAGGAAAACTAGAACATATATATATATATACATATATATAAAAAGTCAAAATTGTAATAACTGACCCATTTCAAAGACTGTTTGGTGCTTCTGTCTTTCACCATTGTGGTTGGCTGAAAATCATTCAGCTCACCTGGTGCATCTGGGTTGAATGGGAAATTTTGTGTGTGTGTAGTGTGTGCGCGTGTGTGTGTGTGTGTGTGCCCATAGCACACGTATATATGTGTGTGTCCCTGCTGCGAGGTCTTGCCAGAGATATAAAAAACTGATGTAAGATGGACTTGGATTATGGCTTGGTTCAGCAGAGCATGGGGGCGGGGTCTCTGGAGTTGTGGGGAAGGGATGCTTCCTGCCCACGAGCCCTGGTTTGGGTGGTGAGGCTGACACCAGCAGCGGACTCCAGGCCTTAGAGGCCGTGCTGTTTGGGTGAGGATTTGATTCTGCTGTTTGTTTTCTCATTGTATCAAGTTGAATTTTTGCAGGTGTTGCAAGTATGTTCAATCATTTTAAAAAGTTTTATTTTTGAAAGTATTGTTCCTTTAAAGAATATTTCTGTTCTAGGGCATCATTTCAAACCCATCGTGTCTCTACTTGGGCACAAA